TACTGTCCAATGGTATGAAGCATGATCTACAGCAAGCCAGAGGGAGGCATTCCCCAGTTTCTCCAAACAGTAGCTGATAGCCTCGGTTTCTTTTCCCCAAGCAGATTCAAGGCATATTTGGAATAGGCTCCTTGCCTTCAGCAAGTCCCCTTGATTCACATTGAGAGCTGCCATGATCATATCACACCAAATAAATCCCATTGAGTACTGCATACAGCTGAAAAGCTGCTTGGCTGTGTCAATATTTCTGTATACTCCATCACTCAATGTGCCAAGTTCTATATCAATCTGAGAAATGTTGAGTAAAGTAAGGGCATGGTGGTATTGGTTTTGCTCAATTGGAGCAGTCCAAAGTATCTGAGTGCGGATACCACGAGCCTCAACATATTCTGACTTCAGCAGATGGATTTCTGCTTGATCATTGAGGGTGGCAAGATCAAGTTCACCCCCAGACATAGCACAAAGACTGAGCAAATTCCTGGCCCTGTTGGCTAAGAGCATACTATGATTATAGTTCCCAAGAGCATACCAGCATCCACATTCCACATGCAGGGCCCATGCTTCACAAAAGAGGTTGCCAGAGATCTTGGCTAGTCTTTGTGACTCAGAGGCATGCTCTTGAGCAGTAGAATAAGCCCCAGTCTGCCACTTTAGGCTGGCTAATGTAGCCAAAAGATCAGACTGTCTGTTGGTGTTCCCAGCTGAGATGGACAATGAAAGTCCACTTTGAGCAAAGTGGAGAGCTCTTGGAATATCATTGCTGGGGAAGAGAAAATGTAGTGCAAGTGTATCATACAACCTGCCTGGGAATACCTTTAATAACTTCCATACTCATCAAATTAAGATGCAACTTACATTTAAGATCTGGATCATCTAGGTGGGGTAAGCATTTGATAGCTTGGTTTACAACATCTTCTTCATTGCCAACTTTTTGTCCTAAGAGTGCCAGGATGAAATAAACTTCAAGTCTGTAGTCTCTTGGCTGTGGAAGGACCTTTTGAATCTGGTGTATCAATTGACCTGGTCCATGTCCAGTTTGTCGTATAAAGCGTTCAAATTGGCATGCACACTCAATAGTGCTAACAAGGTCAGGATTATCTTGCTTCAAGCCATCTATCAAGACATTCTGGATGTTTGCAAGATTGAGTGCTATTCGAGCCACAATGGCAGGACTTGAAACAGTCCCATGATAAGTAGAATGAATCTCAAGGAGGTGGATAAAGTGTTTCATAAGGGGTTGAATCATGTGTGCTATAGGAGGGTGCATTTTCTGCATGTATTCTCGGATTGGGACCAATGCCTTGAGCCGTTTCTGATCATCTATATAGGCTAGAGAGGTGCGAAGTAAAGCAGCTTTGCAGGCTAGGATATTTTCAATTGGGAATTGAGTTTGCAGGAGCTCTATGTCAGAAAGCCCATCAGGTAACATTGAGAGAAGGCTGAGTAGATCACAAGCATGGGGCACAGAAGCTAAACGAGGACTTTCCAGGGACATGGAAATTGACAAGTCTAAATTTGATCCTTTATTGTGACCTTCTGAGAGTAGTGACGTCTTCTCTGTTTCCCAGTGATGCATCACACTTTCAAGACCATCATAGTCCACCAAATGGGCTATAAGATCAATTGCTAATGGCATGTTGTCAGCAAGGAGGAGGATTTTGTCCATGTCTTCAACAGCATAACCATCATCCACAATGTCAATGAAGGTTTTCCGGGCAGCCTCCTGAGCCAGAGGCTTCAGTGGTTTCAAAAAGGGATGAGTCCACCGGACATTGGCGGGCCTTTCTGCCCCTCGCATTGTGATCTGAAATGGTCTCAGTACACAAGAATCAGAGTTAAGTTCTTGACTTACTATCAACACAAGATGTTCAATATCCTCAAGCAAAGCCAAGAACTTCTCAACATCTGCATGCCATTCTCTTGGCTCCCAGATAGTCTCCAGATTGTCCAGGATCAAGAGTGAAGGGGGACTGCCAGAAAAATACCGAATGACAGGTTTAGTGAGATCTTGACCAGGCTTTAGGCCAACATGGGCACCAATCAGGGCAGCGAGGTGAACACAACTTGAGGCTGCATCACAGGCAACAAAGAAGCGATGCTGCTGATATTTGGCAGAGATTTCGGGGTGACATAGAATAGCTCTTGCAAGGGTTGTTTTCCCCATTCCTCCTCCACCCAAAATTGCTATCCTGGGGATCGGCTGATTGAGCTGCTGTATGATGGTTGAAACCTCAAGTTCACGGCCATGGAAAATCTTTGGTTCAGATGGGAGTAATGAAAATGAGTTTGAACTTTAAATTAGAAGATTACCATGGAGACATGCAGCATTCAATCCAAGGACATACCTGTTATGAGAGCTGGAAAGGACTCTGCTGATCTATTTACAGAGCCATTAGGATGAAGTTGGAGTTGGAGTCAGGACATACAGAGGATCCACATTCAGAATTTCCTTCAGAAAGAGCTGAGATCAGCTCCAGGACTTCCTGGTGTGTCTTCTGTGCATGTTGTTGCATGTCTGCCACATCACTTAGAATTTTAGCACCCTGAACCTGAATTATTGCTCTTGTTGAAATTCCAGTGCCATATGGGAGCAATGTACTTACCTTGAATACATCGAGTGCTTGGTCCAGTCCTCTGTGACAGGCCTTCAGCAATGTTCTCATTTCTCCTTGTCGGAAAAACTGCTTGATTTTGCTCTTCTCTTGCTCTGCTTCAACAAAAGTGTGCACCTTGTGCAGTGTTCTAGGGAAATGAGACAGTAATTTCAGACTTTTATGAGAGGAACTTGCTCAGTAAATTTGCCCAGGTTGTCTAACATCATCGGTGATAATTCACCACCAGTATCAGATTTTACATGAACCCAGATGACAGCATATAGGAGCTCGTGGATTTGCTCCAGCATCTGGGTACATTCATCTTGATTTCTCTTGACAGTCTGACAAGTCTCTGTAAACACCAGGAGGAAAGATGAATTGCGGAATTTCACCTGCATGATGGTCAAGAGAGAGTGCAAGGTATTTGAAATTGGCTGCAAGAATGGTGTCTTCAAGCTTTTCGAGACCACATCGAAAGTGGTGACAGCAGCACCCAATGAGGCTACAATGTTGTCGAGTCGAGTCTGCACAGTAGCAGGTGGGTGGGGCATTGTTGTGATGGTGGTTACTGAGCAGTTCCCTCCTTTATATCATGTGTCGTGACAGATTAGATATTCATTGGCTGGCAATTTTTGGCTTACATCATTCCTTGATGAACCATAGATGATCATTTATGGTACCGGTTGCCACACCCTAATGTCTTAACTATTGCCTTGGATCCTCAAGTAGAGCCCTCCTAGTGAAAATATGAGAACTTGAAAATTGTTTACTTGAGTACGACACAGTGTTCCTACAAGTCGAACCATTCACAGATGGAGTATGCATTAATCATCACAGCGAACAGGCTATGCATGACCCCGTGTTCATCATGATAAAGGAGCATCTCTTGCCTGATCTTGTTCAGAATCATACGTGGGAATGTCATGTCGAGAGATGTTCAATTTTATAATTGTATGAGGGTGGGGTCCTGTGCATTCTCCATCATCTCAACACCTCATTATCACCAACTTGATAGCCAGGACAAGGATATGGGCAGCTACAACTCCTGGGCAGGCAGCAGTTGAGATTCAAGGAACAGATAAAGCACAGGTTGTAGTAGATCAGAGCTTTCCCGTCGAGCAGGAGTTGGAATATAAACTGCACCTGTGTCCTGCACACGCATGGCAATTGCAGAAAGAATGATGTAGTCAACTGAGACTCACACACCCTGTGGCGGAGAAGCCTGGCACAGTCACGGCATGTTGAGCGGATGAAGATGTAGCAGAAACGATGACCTTCTCCCACGCAAGTGCGGGTCCTCATATCACGTGATTCCTGGTGTGATGGTTGGAAAGAGGTTGGTGGCAGATTGACCAGTCGCGGAACTGGAAATCACAGACGAGGTTATTTTACTTCCTCTCACTCCGACAAGAAACAAAAAATGAGCACAAAAGAGACCTTCTCGCTCGACCTCGAATTGAACGGGGGCTTTCTGCCTGTCAATCATGCATCGATTATGCTGCGCAGATGCACTCCATTGTGCTGCCGGTGGTGTTTAAGACTGTTTTGTCCCTGGCCTTATGGGAGGGAATGAGGACGGACCAGGTGTGGGTATGTTTGAAATAAAAAAATAAAAAATCCAGGGTGCCCGCCGGGTACCAGAATTTCAGTTCTTGACGGGTTGGAAGACCTTCTTCAGTAAGTATTGAAGGACTTGAAGCATTCGGACGAGTATGAACTGAGAGATTAAAAAGATTCTTAAGGCACTAACACATCACCCGACCCCGAATCGAACGGGGGCTTTCTGCACGGAATTGATCAAAGCTTTTAGTTTGAGCAGATGCATGCACGGCATGTGCTACCGGGTGTCTCTCATCCTGGCTTAGAGTTGAACTTATGCCAGGGGATTGAGCCAGATATGAATTTTGTGGTTGAACTTCAAATTAGTGCGAATTTCGAAAGACCTGAACCAGAGCACTCACAAACCAAACCAGAGCCGGGAAGGTTGTGGATCGACCGCGTGCTTGTACACGGGAAAGGGGAAGACCTGCGGTATGCGGAAGAGTACTATGTAAAAGAAAAAGAAGAAAGAAAAAAAGGACATCACCGCCCCGAATCGAACGGGGGCTTCTGCCTACATCTTCAGTCTATATGATGCTGCGCAGACGTACACCATGTGCTACAGAGTGTCTCTTACCCCACTTTCAACTTGAATTTATGCGAGCGAAATCACAGGGATGTGGAGTCGAGGCTGCGCTTGAAAAGTCTACCGAAGTTAATGGAGCCAGTGGCAGTCCCACTCACCAACCAAAATGGAGTTTTGCTAGCACTTATAGGCTTCCGGAGCAGGTAAAGAGGGAGGAAGAGACTGGAGGGCATCTGGACGAGTACTTCCGAGCACACCAAAAAACACTTGCGTCAAAGTCATCACCCGGCCCCGAGTCGAACGGGGGCTTTCTGCCTGCGAAGCATGCAGCAAAGCGCACTTTGGGCAGATGCACACACCATGTGCTACCGGGTATCTCTTCCCCTGGTGTGCAGTTGAATTTATATGAGCCAAATGAGCTTGACTGGGCTAGCGGGAAGTTGAAATCAATGCATATTTCGAAAGGACTGAATCACTAACCAAACCAGACCAGAGCTGGCAAGGCTGCGGACCGTGCGCGGGCTTGTAGGCGGGAAAGATGAGGAGTTGTGGTAGCGGAAGAGAATGTAAAAGAAAAAGGAAAAGAAACCGACAAATTACATTCATCACCCGGCCCCGGATCGAACGGGGGCCTTCTGCATGCAATCCTCTTGCAAAATCGGACGCTTTACTTGGCGCAGATGCACACCCTGTGCTACCGGGTGTTCCTTCTCTTGGATTGAAGCTCAATTCATGGGATAGAAAAGAGCGCGACTGGGTGGGATTGAAAAATTGAAATTGCTGTAAGGCTCGGAAGATACAGGAACGGGCCGCTGGTTCATGCCCAAAAAAATTGAGGGAGTCGCGAGGGGTGCGGGATGTACGGGAGAGAGCTCAGAGAATAAAGGAGTTTTTTTTTCGTTTGAGTTTGAAGAAGAAAAAAGAGAAGGAAAAAGTGTCCCAGCGGGTTTGAGAAGTTTGTAGCCGTCGCAGTTGCGGAGGGTGTGGGATGTACGAGACAGGAAGAATCCAGGAGTTTTTTTTGCTCGAGTCTGAAGAACGAAAAAAAAAAGAGAAGGAAAATTTTCATCGCCAAGTTATCGGCCGACCCTGAATCGAACGGGGGACCTTCTGCCGAATTCTTTAAAGCGGGCCTAATCCTAGCAGACGCACCCCTTGTGCCATCGGGCGGTCCCTAGATCTTAAAAGCGAACATCCTAGACCTGGTCAAACTTGCCGTCGGCGTCGAAACTCGAAAGCAGGTGAAATACAATTTGCAAAGCGGCACAGCCCTTCCGAATGAGACAAGGCCAAACACGGCCCCGTCTGCTCCTCTCCCTTTCTGCATCCATGCCATCGTCGAGCCAGTCCCCTCCGCCCGCGCCCCGCCGCCGCGCATCTGCCAGCCCGTCGCGCGACGCCGGCGTCAAGGGCATCACCCGCAAAGTTATTCGCACTCTGGAGGGCCTCGGCCACCCCGCCCTCAGCGAAGCCGACGACGAGGCGGACGACGAGCACGAGGTCGCGCGGGCCCTCGCGGCCGATGCTGAGCGCCGGGCGGGCAAGCAGCGCGCAATACACCCGAGCGCTGGGGCCCCGCAGAAGAAGATCGACTGGGAGATCCCGCGCAAGGTGTTCCACTCGTCTATCGGTGCGCCCTCCTCCCTCCCTCCGTATGAGTTACCTGGCTGACGACCGGGGTGTAGGGTTCATCACTCTGGGATTATATTTGACGCCGAGCATGTCGCCGCGGACGGTGGCACTCACGCTGTGGGCCGCGCTCGCCGTCATCGGCCCGAGCGAATTTGTGCGCCTCCGCGCGCCCGCCGTCGAGCGCGTCTACGAGCGCGCATTGGGCTTCCTCATGCGCGAGTCCGAGCGCGTGCGTCCCCCTTCTCTCTTGTGGTTTTTTTCGGTATTGACATGCGGATTGCGGGCAGCACGGAACGAATGGAACGCTGTGGTACATCCTCGGCGTCAACTTTGCGCTCACGTTCTATCCGATTGACGTCGCGACTGTCGCAATACTTATGTGCGTCCTGCCTCCCTGCCTTCCCTCCTGCCTTCCTCCCCTGCTTGCCGTCCTTCTTCCTTCCCATCTTGCATTCCTCCCCCCTTTTTTGTCTCCCCCTCCGTTTCTACTCTTTCCGTTTCTCGTCCGAGACACGCACGCCCCTCCGGGCGCCTTCCGCGCTTACGCAGCCACCCCTATGCTGCGGCGGCCGCCCGCGCCCGTCGGCAGCGCCGATTCAGCATCGCCTTGCCTTCGTGCGTCGGTGGCCGCGGTTGTGTATGCGACGATGCCCCGCCCCGTCCATGCCTCAATGCGTGGTCGTACCGTTCGTTGCGGGTCGTGTGCCACCCACCGACCCCTGCTTCCTTCGCCCCTAGGCCGGTTTACCTCCGCCGATCGGGGCGGGTCGTGTGCCTCTATTCACGCCTCCTTTCCTCTCCTCCATTCTTTCTTCCTGCTCTGCCCAGCGATCCCGCCGGCGTGACGCTTGATGACGCACCGGACGCGCACGAGCTGACGTACCGGCGCCGCCGACGTTATCGGTTACTGTAAGAGCTGGCCACGGCCTCGCTTATCCGGCCGCATACGTCCGGCTGTGCGCGAATTTCCTGATGGTGGCAACGAGACGGAGCAACGACATGAACGGACCGGAAGAGCAGGGACGTGGCTGTGTGGAAAATTGATCCGGGCTGGCCCTTGTCTCCTGCCCTCACCGTCGCGCGTCTCTGTGTTGGCCTGGCGCCCGCTTGCCTGCTTTACATCGAATCTCGTGCGTCGGCGCATTTCTTTCGTGTTCGCTCTTGCTTCTCGTGTCATCGCCCCGCTGCGCGCCCTTCAATCGCCTGGCCTCGTTGTCTGCGCAATCGGCTTTCACGAATTCGTGTGAATTCCGTGGATGTCGTTCAGTAGCACTCTACCTGATTTCTAGCTGGGCTGGTCGTAAATACTCTTTTTTCGGCAGGTGAACTGGGCTGCTCGGTCCATTGATAGCATGCGCTTACAGCTCTCACCGCGTCTTTTTTGGATTATTTTCTCTCCCTGTCGTACACATTCAACAATACATCGAATTCTCTGGCTCCCTCATATTCTCATACATCTGCGTCTCCACTCTGGCTGCCCATGCGTGCCCGAAATACTTGGCCTTCATCGACCCCCTGATTACTTAGTCGCAGCGCAGATTGTCCATCCCCATGTCAAGATACAAACCCAAGTTGTCTTACCGGATGCTTGGAACGACGGCTCTGCAGACCACGTTTCTCAAGAGAAACTAGGCGCTTCCAATCGGGCTGTTTCGTTTCTCAGCGTTCAAAATAGGTGCTCACTGACACCTGTTCAAGAGCTCATCGCTTCGCCGTTGAATCTCGTACCCTGAAGATAGTTTTCTGATAATTTTATTTTCGTTCCAACATGGATTCAATGGGCCACTTATGCTTGTTGAATCTTCGCCATCCCGGCTCATTATCTCACCCCGGAGAAGTGTCCGTTACACATTCTCTGGGCTATAGTTCTCGTGCCCTCGCCATAGGTTCCACCTCGCGAACACTGGTCTCTCTCTTCATCTCTGGTTGTTTCCATCGTTCCATATGCTCGCCTATACTATCCGGTCCACCTCGTTTCTTCCTACGTGTCGAAACTCGAATATTGTCTCGCACTCCGCCCCTATCCCAGCTGCATCTCTGATCTTTGCTCGGGTTTGCAAGAATATCCGTAATCCGGACACCCTTAGATTCAGTGCCGTGGCGCGTGGCATTTCTTGCTGCAACTGAATGTGCCGTCTCATTGATTGAGCGCTCGGTCCTTTTAGGAATTTTATATCCCAGTGCTATCTTGCTTGAGAATATTTCGTTGAATTGTGTCTCCCGCTCACCTCACCAAAGGATCTGTCCACGAGAAATTAACTCACCATCTCGTCTTGGAGAAGGGATTGTTACAGATCTTTTGGCCTACTTACTATCCTCTTCGCGCCCTCCCCACAGTTGAATCCGCCTGTCTTCTTTGTCTTTCAAGTTGTGTTTCGAACTCCACGCTGTCCGGTATACAATTGCGTCGATGACTCTTCACCTCTTCAGATACGTCTCACTTATGGCTATGTCTCGCAATCCGCGGATCTCTCAGCTGCATCTCATCCGAAAGAAATATTCTTCAGAATTGGGCCTTTCCTTTTCGTCCTCGGGTCTGCCTTACTCCGCGCGAGCCTTGGATTCGAACAATGGTGTCTGGGTCGCACGAATACCTGACATGACATCTTTATGCACTGGATCTGCTGAAATTATCATCAGCCTTCTATTCTGCGCCCTGACGCATCTACAGTTGCCCATCCGTTCTACACATGAGAACGGTGGCTGTCGCATGACATAGCCGCCAGGGGCTGTGACACAGCACAGCCACGTTCTTTGGTACAGGACAGATTGGCAACAGTATAGGCTCACACTGTGCTTTATCAAAACTGGAATTATATTGCTTCGCATGAGTCGACCCCAACTTATTACCAGTTTATCTGCAAATATTGTCCGCCCATTCTATCTCACCCATTCATCTGACGCCTCTTCATTTGGCTGCCGAAGAGAAGGAATTGTGGGCTGGAACTCACCGCAGTGACCGACCATCCATTTCCCGCCATGCTTTGCTTGGGCTGCGCTCGAAAATATTCGGCAAAACTTATCCCGAGATTAGAGAAGATGGAGGACAAGGAAGGCTTCAGCAAGAAGTCGATTAATCTGTTGAACCTACCTGCTACATGGACGCCGAACCCAAAGGACAATATTAATCCGTTGGTGCAATGGCTTCCTACCAAGGCATCAAATATTCATGGGTAAAATCTAAGTTGAACACCATGAAGCTCGAGCTGGGACTTCAATTCTGTTCTTGACCCACGAACCTTGGAAGAGTTGCAATGCATCAACGACACACTTTCAGCTCAAACACAGACACTGTGCCTTTAGTTTCGCATGGCTATATGGAGGAAAATCCGGGCGACACTGGCTTGAATACCAGGAAAGCTTGAAGTTCTCGGATTGCACAACACATTTCTCCGAAAATTGCCCAGAGTATGTGAGCGGACAACAATTTTCTAGTGCTGAGTAAATTTGTGCATTGAGTCCTTGGAGTTTTCGAAGATTTGTGTATCGGGCGGGGGTAACTGATTTGTGTTGCGAATATTCCAGATTATGCTTCGTTCTGTTGCCTAAACTGTACCGTGGGGCATGGGCAACTGTGGGGTCTGCGAGATTAGCTTAGGTGGCAAGACGGAGTCCAGGAACGATGGTGTACTTACTGCTTGCTTGTACACCGGGAGAATTCCTGGGCCCGCTGTTCGTTATTCGGACCGTGCCGTGTAATATATCCTATCCTATCCTATCCCATCGTGGTGCCTTAGCTGAGA